AAAAATATCTATATGATTAATTATATAATAATATATTAATATAATATATATATAATATAATATAATATTATTCACTTTAAGCTCTATTTTATAAAATAAAACTAATTATAAATGCAAAAATCGACAACGATACTGTCCTCTTCGCGCGATGGTAGCTTCCCAATTGCCATTTGTTTCTTAGCTAATTCTGTCCACCTTAAAATTACCATGTATGCAGCCTATGTATTAATCGCAATCATACCGATCGACTTTTTATTTCGTACCAATTAAAATAATCTAGAAAACTCTTTACTTATGCGCCGCGGGCGTGCAGTTTTCGGTCGAGATACACAGAAATGCTTGCTTAAAAGCATTTACCTGGTTTACAAAATCGATACCATAATACGCGCGCATGATTATATCACTCGTTTCGTTAAACAATCTGAAAACATATCGTTAAAACGTATTTTAATTTATCATCGGAAAAAGCGGAAACCGAACGAAAAAATTCACGCGAGATACCCGAGAGGAGAGAACCGCGGGACAAGATCAATATTTTCAATTCCAAGAATCGAACAAGAGCGAGTCGAGATTACACCGTCGATATTTTCCCCAAAAACAAGACGATATTCCGTCGGATATCTCGCGTATCGCCGTTCCGTACCGTGGATGACCCGGCATCGATCGCGTCCGACGGGATCGATTTCGCGGAGGGGGTCGAGCGAAATCGCGATAATTGGGTCGACCGCGCCACACCGGGGGCGTGTACACGGCGTATACCGGGCGTGTACCGGTCGCCTGCAACCAACATCGCCGATGCTCGAATTACGCTAATTGTTCCATCGATTTGCCGGGTCGTCGGGTCCGGCGCTTTTTGCCTGTCGTCTCGTCGCGAGCCGGCCGAGATTTGTCGAGCGGCGGCGGCGGCGATCGCGTCGGCGTCGAGGCCTCGCCGCTTCGGGGAGCGTTAAATCGTTGTCGAAGTCGCGGCCGGATAAACGCCGGGAAAATGTTAGCGAGGCAAACGCGCGCGAAATGGCCGACGGGAGATTCGAGCCGGGAATATTAATCTCGAGTCGCGCGCCATAAATCTATCTCCGCTCGTAATAAACGGATCCGGTGTCCGGTCCGCGCAGCTGGAATCCGCCGCGGTTCCGTCCGACGATCGACTTTTTTTTCCGCGCCGATTCCGGAGAGCGTCGCCGCGAGCGCGCCTCGCGCACCGCGTCGTTGCCGTACAAGCGGAAAATGTAAGAGGACGCGCCGGGGTCGCCCCCGTCGATACCCGGAGGGGGGTGATTAATGCGCGATCAGAGCCGTTCTTTGCCCCGAAAGAAAATACCGCCGTTCGACGGTGTGCGCGCGGAACGGAACACGATCGCACGCGCTCGTCGGGAATTCGAGGCCGAAAGTTTCGATCGGTCGCGAGGAGACAAAGAATCCGTCACGCGATTATCGAGCTAGGACTCGCTTCTAGGATCTTCCATTCGACAAACCGCTCGAGCTATTCAGCCGACGTTGAAAAGACTGTCGCGCACAAAGGAGAACCTGCCACTCGAACCGTTCAATCCCAGGAACCTCTTCTTCCTGTTCCCGTTCTCTTTCTTCTCGCGATCGGTTTCTCTCCCTGCCTCGCCCCCCGCCCCCGCCCCCGTTTCGTCGCTCGTCCGTCTCTCACGTTCTCTCGTTCACGTTCCAGAAATCTCGTCCACAACCTGAGCCTGACCGATCTGACCGAGCAGCAGCGGCTGACTTGGTATTCGACCGACAGTGACGTGAAGATGTGCCTGGTGAAAGGCACCCCCGAGGAGAACTGCCAGAACTATATTCGCATTCTGGTGAAGACCGACCCGAGCACGTTGCTCGTGTGCGCGACGAACGCGTTCAAGCCGATGTGCCGGGACTACGGCGTCCACGCCGGCAACTACTCGATCGTGAAGGAGAAGGGCGGCCAGGCGATGTGCCCTTACGACCCCCGGCACAACAGCACCTTCGTCTACGTCGACGGGGAGCTGTACACCGGCACGGTGGCCGATTTCGCGGGAATGGACCCCATCATTTACAGAGAACCGTTGCAGACCGAGCAGTACGACTCGAAAAGCCTCAACGGTGAGTCTCCCCGCACCCATTCTCGACGCACCCCCTTCTCCGCAAACGGCGGGACGCGGTCCTCTCTGCGCGGCCGATGGGATTCGTCGTCGGGCAACGTTGAACGGCTCGGCCGACGGCGAAAACGTCGATGTTAACGGGCGATTAAAAATTCAAATAAGGGCGGGGAACGAGGGTGGGGGGTGAGGCTCGGGCGTGTGCGAAGGGTAAACAGCTGGCGTGTTTTTGATAGCGGAAGGAGGTCGGTGGAACGCGGTCGTTTCGAGGAATTTATCGCTCGATACACTAAACGGCAGAGCCGGCCCGCGCGCCGTTTAACCGGGGAACGGGAGAAAACTTTCCACTTTTCTCTTGTTTAAGCGAACCGCGAACGACCGACGGCTCTAAATTAAGCAGGAAATTTGCCCCGGCGCGAGGATGTTTAGCTCGCGGCCGAGCTAAAAGATTTTCGAATCCACGGCGGCCGGAATAAATCGCGTTCTCGATCCCCGAGGATCCCGGTGTCGGCCGCCTCCGGGCAATTCGCCGAGCCGCGAAACGTTTATGTTTATGCAAACGACGCTCTACGCGCCGTAAAACGTCCAGGTGGCCGAGCCCGCTCGGTGATTTCGAGACGGTCGTAATATCCGCCCCGTCGCGCGCCGTGTCGCCCGCGATCATCCGACCGACCGGCCGAAGCTCGAGCTCGAGCTTCGAAGCTCGCGTTCCCGCGCCCCGTGCTCGACCGAGTCGAGCTGTTTGCAGGGCCTCGGTTCGAGCCCGAAACGATCGGGCACTTTGAAAACCCGGGGCCGAAGCCGCGAACCGAGAAATTAGCTAGACGGAAAGGCGCGCCGCGATCGGCCGTGATTCGTTGCCGCGCCGCTGCGGCAACGAGCAAACGGCACTGGCTTTAGCCTGCGCGCGGTGTAATTCAGAGATTAACCGTGCGTGTAGGTGGATTTCGCAGAGTTCGCGCTCGCGGAGATTATTCAACGGCCCTTCCATATCTGTACATATAATAACGGCGGAGAGCAGCCGCCGCTGCCTCGCGCTCACCCCGCACCACCCCCTGTATGCTCCCTCTGCGCGACGACGAAATACGTCTCCGCGTCGTCGATGGGAAATTTTAATCCGGATCAAGCTGTCTCTCTCTCTCTCTCTCTCTCTCTCTCTCTCTCTCTTCGTCGGCCTATCTCTGTCCGTGGAGCTCCGTTTCTCGCGAATCGTTGTTATTAACTGTTTTATCGGTCGACTGCTCCTCGTAAATTTTCGGGACTCTCCCGCTGTTAAAAAAAAGGAAAAAAGAAAGAAAAAAGAAACGTAACGTCGGCCAAGGGTCGGCCTGAATTACGGTTCCCAAGCGGCCGCGGCGAAGGCTCGAATTTTCCTCGAGATCGATCCAGGTAAGAAAGAATTATGGTCGAGATAGCGAGGGATGACGGGCCCCGCGACACGTACGGACGCAGTAATATTTAAGAAGACTTCACGGAGCCGACGATTCGATGGCGATTCGACGATGGCGAGGCTCGGCCTCCCCCCCCCGGGGACCAAGGACCGATAAAACTGATACGTCATCTTGTTCCACGGGGTTGACTCGTCCGTCAGAGTATTTTAATTGAACGGTGTAGGAACGTTAATCAAGTTTCTCCACCCGTTGGATAATATTGATTTTCCCTCCGTTCGTTGAAAATTCAATTTCCCCTTTTTATCTTCCTCGCTTGCCCCCGCGCCCCCCGCCCCCGCCGCCCTTCCCGACGCTCTTCGCGTCCCCGTGACTGTTCGTAGCTCTTGGCTCTCCGCCGCTCCGACGCGCGTCAACAATTATTTCGAACGTCGTCGACCGGCAAATTGTTCACGGTGATGACTGGTCGGCCGCGTAGAATTTCGTTACGTTTTCCGACCGGTTCGACGACGACGCGCCCTCCCCTCGTCCCCCCCGCATTCGTCGATCGCGACGGACGGAGCTTCGCCGATTACGATCTCTCAGGGACGGCCAGCGGGATTTGTTCGTTCGCGGAGAGAAATGCGAGAAAGAGGAGAGCCGCTCGATCCCGAGCTATTTTCGACTCGTCAAACTCTCGGTCCAAGGGAGGCTAAACGCACCGAGAATGAAAGACAGCTGGACGACGAGGCGGAACGGTGGCTGGATATCGCGAGGGAGCGAACAGGCGGCGAGAGGGCTGAGGCGGCTGGTAAAAGGACCCTGGAAGGGCGGGGAAGGGCGGAGAAGGACGGGGAACGGACGGAGAAGGACGGGGAAAGACGGAGAAAACGGCAGCGAATTTATGGGCCGGAGCAAGGCGGTTCGGTCGGATATACCGTCTCGCCGCGCCGCGCCGCGCCGTGCGAGATTAATATTACTTTATGAATCCTAAGAAGCTTATGAAAACCCTGTCAAGTTAATAAATCGATAAAGTTTTCCCACTTTATCGGGCGGTTGTGCGCGACAACCGAAGCGACGGCGAAAAGAGAAGGGTGCGGCGGCGGCGGCGGCGGCGGGCGCAACGATGTAGAAGAAGAGGGAACAATTGAGAACGACGGAGGAGACAGACGGACCGAGAACCGCGTCGTCGTCGTCGTCGTCGTCGTTTCGTTACCCCGCTCGACACGCCGCTCGAATAACCGAGAAAATAAAAGGGTTCTTACGTATTCGTGGCCGGCTTATTCCCACGATGCGTCACGACCGGCATATACCGCGCGCAGAAAACGGAGAGAGAGAACGAATCGATGTTCGCCGGAGGCCGGAGACGACGGTAATTGGGAACGATTTCGGGTCAAAATGACTTCTTGACGAGACACCGATACCCGACGGATTATCGACGTTCCCTGGGCGAGCCCGTTGTTTTCGAACAACCGTCGCGTTATCCGCGCGGTTTGCGCGGGGTCAACCCCGGCTATCGCGTTCGTTTTTTATTTAGAAGAGGCCGCCGTTTACCTCTCTCTCTCTCTCTCTCTCTCTCTCTCTCTCTCTCTCCCACTCTCTCCGTTCCGCGTAATAACGATAATAGCCTTGTGCAACGTTGTAACGCATGTGCATTCTAATTGCAGCCCCGAACTTCGTGAGCTCCATGTCCCAAGGAGACTTCGTCTACTTCTTCTTCCGGGAAACCGCTGTAGAATATATCAATTGCGGCAAGGTAAGTAGTTTGCGCCGTCTAATTGCGCAATTACTCTCGCGGAAGAGAAACGCGGATCCATTTCAGGAACGGCCGGGAAATCGACGACGATTAAACGTTCAGCAAGTTTGAACGATCAGAAATTTCCGCGTGCAGTTTGCCGCTTCCAGCTTGTCGCTTATCGCGGGGCTCTGCCGAGCCCCCCGCGAGCTTGCGTCGATTCGGCACCGCTAACTGCGCTTTCTTTCTCTACGCGGCTGTCACGGAGAACGATGAGCTTGCGAGCGAGCTCTCCGTCGCTCTCTCTCGCTCTTTCTCTCTCACCCCCTCTCTCTCACTCTTTCTCTTTCACTCTCTCTCTCGCTCTCCCTCTTTCTCTTTCACTCACTCTCTCTCTCTCTTGCTCTTTCTCTTTTTCTCGCTCTCGCTCTTTCTCTCTCGCTCTCCCGCTCTCGCTCTCGCTCTCCCGCTCTTTCTCTCTCGCTCTCCCGCTCTCGCTCTTTCTCGCTCTCCCGCTCTCGCTCTTTCTCGCTCTCCCGCTCTCGTTCTTTCTCTCTCGCTCTCCCGCTCTCTCTTTCTCAACTGCCGACTATCTCTATCTCTATCTCTATCTCTATCTCTATCTCTATCTCTATCTCTATCTCTATCTCTATCTCTATCTCTATCTCTATCTCTATCTCTATCTCTATCTCTATCTCTATCTCTATCTCTATCTCTATCTCTATCTCTATCTCTATCTCTATCTCTATCTCTATCTCTATCTCTATCTCTATCTCTATCTCTATCTCTATCTCTATCTCTATCTCTATCTCTATCTCTATCTCTATCTCTATCTCTATCTCTATCTCTATCTCTATCTCTATCTCTATCTCTATCTCTATCTCTATCTCTATCTCTATCTCTATCTCTATCTCTATCTCTATCTCTATCTCTATCTCTATCTCTATCTCTATCTCTATCTCTATCTCTATCTCTATCTCTATCTCTATCTCTATCTCTATCTCTATCTCTATCTCTATCTCTATCTCTATCTCTATCTCTATCTCTATCTCTATCTCTATCTCTATCTCTATCTCTATCTCTATCTCTATCTCTATCTCTATCTCTATCTCTATCTCTATCTCTATCTCTATCTCTATCTCTATCTCTATCTCTATCTCTATCTCTATCTCTATCTCTATCTCTATCTCTATCTCTATCTCTATCTCTATCTCTATCTCTATCTCTATCTCTATCTCTATCTCTATCTCTATCTCTATCTCTATCTCTATCTCTATCTCTATCTCTATCTCTCTATCTCTATCTCTATCTCTATCTCTATCTATCATCTGTCTATCTGTCTATCTATCTATTTATCTATTTCGAAGTTCGTTCTCACCGGCAAATCATTTTCGACGAGCTTCTTGGAAAAGTTGCAACGTATTCTCCAGCGACCATCCGCTCCAAGTTATCGTCGAAAGAAAACGCATCGACGCACGTTCGCGCTTACAGTGAATTCTTTCTAATTGTACATCAGCTTGTAAACAAAACTGGACAATTTGAGAAAAGGTGATACGACTATTCGAGCCCCGCGGCTTGCTTTTATAGTCGTCGATTGTCAACAAGTATAAAAACGTGCCGAGAGGATCGAATAATCGTACCTCTTCTTCCCAAGATATTCATTTTTGTTTACATGCTCGGGGACAATTGGAAAGAAATTACTGTATTTACGGTTGATAACAAGTCGTTGCCTGATTCGGGAGTAGCGTTTGACCTTATCGAGCTGAACGACGCGCAGTAGCACCTTTTCTAAGAATCGTGTGCGACTAAAAGCAACTCGTTTCAACGAGTCGTACTTCCAAAGAAGTACGTATAGATCGATACCCAAGTAACGGGTTACATGTATGAGAAATAGCATCTGTAACCTAAATAGTTCATTGATTATTATTTTATATTTTATATATTTATTATTATATTATTATTATTATTTTTTATATTTATTATTTATATTTTATCATTATTCTATACATGTATATTATTATCATATGATTACTATTATTATGAAAGTCACATTTCTCTCCGATGTTCTCAACAATTTCGAACGAGGTCATTTCGTTGAAAATTACTTTTGCTACGTAAGAATTGAAAATTCAGCAATTTATAATTGTACCAGGTAAAAAGTGTGGAAAACCCAAATTGAAACTGTCGACGAAATGTTATTAACGAACATTGTGAATAATGAATCACCGAAGAGGTGCTACAATATTCGAGCGTATTCCAGCTTTGTTCCGAGTTTTTTCTAAAGAACTCGGTACAAAGCTCGAGCCCGCAAAGGAATTAAAATTATTTCGCTTGGAATTGGCGCAAACGAAGCGACACTTATCGACGACACATATTAGACGGTAAAACAATGCAGTTATCCAACTATTCTCCATTGAAAAAGTAAATCTTTTAATTTCAATTCTGTTCCATTTTTAATGGTCATCGACCGTTGTAACGACTACAGTAAATTCTCCCTAATTGCCCTTCGACTTCTAAACAAAAATGGAAAATTTGGGACAATCCCAAAAATTTGAGATAGTTGTTGACAATCGACGACTATAAAAATAAGCCTCGCGAGGCTCGAATAATCGCACCTCCCCTTCCCAAATCGTCCATGTTTGTTCCGAAGCTGAGGGTCGATTAGATCGAATTCACTGGAGTTCGGTAAGTCCAGTGAATTACCATACCGTTCTTTCTAAAGAACTCGGTACAAAGCTCGAGTCCGCAAAGGAATTAAAATTATTTCGCTTGGAATTGGCGCAAACGAAGCGACACTTATCGACGACACATATTAGACGGTAAAACAATGCAGTTATCCAACTATTCTCCATTGAAAAAGTAAATCTTTTAATTTCAATTCTGTTCCATTTTTAATGGTCATCGACCGTTGTAACGACTACAGTAAATTCTCCCTAATTGCCCCTCGACTTCTAAACAAAAACAGAAAATTTGGGACAGTTGTCGACAATCGACGACTATAAAAACGAGCCTCGCGAGGCTCGAATAATCGCGCCTCCCCTTCCCAAATGGTCCATGTCCGTTCCGAAGCTGAGGGTGGATTAGGTCGAATTCACTGGACTTCGATAAATAAGCGTGGCGCACGCGAGTGTACGTACCTTTTCACGATCGCCGGTCTTTTCGATTTCAGACCGTCTACTCTCGCGTGGCGAGAGTCTGTAAATACGACCGAGGTGGTCCTCATCGTTATCGCAATAGGTGGACCTCGTTCCTAAAGTCCCGACTCAATTGCTCCGTCACCGGAGATTTTCCTTTTTACTTCAATGAAATACGTAAGTAGAGCGGGTCGTCGGGGTCCGCGGACGCTGCCGTCGGAATCCGCGATCGATCTCCGTCTCCTCTCCCCAGGATTTCCATGCCGCGGCGCGTCACGGCGCGGCGTTGCGCGGCTTTCGCCCGATGGAATCGATAAGACGAGGAGGAATCGGGGATCGAACGGGGCTGCGGCAAACGTCATCGATTTTTAAAAAGCGGCGCGTGTTTGCCCGTGCGTCCGCGGAGGGGCCGGTGGAAATAAATTTCCACCGGCCGGTCGTAAACGTCTACGGTCGCGGGCGGACCAGCGCGCGCAAACAAAGAGCCTGCGAAATTACAGCGTGCGTTATTTGCAGAATCAACGACGGAACTGATATCGGGCCAGTACGGCAATAAGTCGGCGCAGCTGATATACGGCACGTTCACAACGCCGGTGAACAGCATCAGCGGCTCGGCCGTTTGCGCGTTCTCCTTGCAGGACATCACGGACACGTTCAAAGGCAACTTCAAGGAGCAGAGCGCCATCAATTCGAATTGGCTGCCCGTGCAAAGCACCAAGGTCCCCGACCCGAGGCCGGGACAGTGCGCCAACGACTCTCGATCGCTGCCCGATTTGACCCTCAACTTCATCCACACGCACTCCCTGATGGACGATCTGGTGCCCAGTTTCTTCGGACAACCGATCGTCATACGCACCAGCTTCCAGTAAGATCGACGTCCCGTTCTTCTTCTTCTTCTTCTTCTTCTTCTTCTGCGGCAGTGGACGAACGGTTTACGCTTTCGGGAAACCTGGTCACACGTCAAAGTCTGCGACGCTAAACCTACCTAGTGCTATCCTTTTAGGCACGACGCGCCACTATAGTGGCTTTCGCGGATGTCATCTCTCTGAACGACGCACTATAATGGCTTCCGCGGACGTCATCTTTCAGAACGATGCGCCACTATAGTGGCTTCCGCGGACGTCATCTTTCAGAACGATGCGCCACTATAGTGGCTTCCGCGGATGTCATCTTTCAGAACGATGCGCCACTATAGTGGCTTCCGCGGATGTCATCTTTCAGAACGACGCGCCACTATAGTGGCTTCCGCGGACGTCATCTTTCAGAACGATGCGCCACTATAGTGGCTTCCGCGGATGTCATCTCTCTGAACGACGCACCACTATAGTGGCTTTAGCGGATGTCATCTCTCTGAACGACGCGCCACTATAGTGGCTTTCGCGGATGTCATCTCTCTGAACGACGCGCCACTATAGTGGCTTACTCTAGTAGCTCACTCGGTCATCGTTTGAATCAAATAATCGTCTTCATATGCATTGTTTCGCTCTTCTTTTGTCTTCACATCGATTTACAATATATAAACTTATCTTAACAATATAACTGTTAACAATATAACTGTATCTTAACAATATACAGACACTCTGTACAGTACATATCAGACTCTGCCGTCCAGAGAAATAGCCTCGCGCAGAATTCAGCCGTACCTGAAAAGCTAAAGATGTTTGACACGCGATGCTTTATCAGAATTCCAAGACCGAATGCGTTTAGTCGTCTCGCTGGTTTTATTACGATGGATGTACCGAATTAGCACGTTGAATGCCACGCCGGTTTTACAAAAATTACATATATATATAAAACAGAAATTGTCCGTGGCGCCACGATGAATTTTTTTTTACGTGATACATATAATGTTGAAATATTATCTGCAATAGATAAGTTACAGTGTATAACCATGTTCGACATGTTAATTGCGACAGGGGTCACCGTTTGAATCGACGATGCTAATAATACAAAATTTTAGATGTTGACATTTGTTTGATGGCGCGCCGGTTACCGGTGGCCCCCATGGCGTCACCGCCAAATTAAGTGCCGGTCACCGGTGACCCCGGTGGCATTCAACGTGTTAAGGAATTTGTTCGATCGTTTGCTACAATAGACTCCTTACAGTTTCAACAATTTCGAAAGAAAACGCGTGGAATAGATTTTTCATCGACACGGTAGATTCGGTGTTAAATGAACACGCGGCGAACGTTATTTTATCTGTAGAAAATATTATTTCTACGTGCTTCTGTAATGTTCAATTTGTTTAACATTTGAGCAACAAGCTATAGACGAGTCAGACTTGCGACGAAGATTTCATTCAAATTTTAACTATCTAGATTTGGTTTCATTAATTTAACATTAATATTGTGGGAATCTTCAGATATTAATGTCAACGCCAAAATTTCTATGGCAAATTTTAACTATCTAGATTCGGTTTCATTCATTGACATTAATATCTGAAGATTCTCGCAATATTAATGTTTAATTAATGAAACCAAATCTAGATAATTGAAATTAGCCATAGAAATTTTGGCGTTGACATTAATATCTGAAGATTCCCACAATATTAATGTGAATTAATGAAACCGAATCTAGATAGTGAAAATTTGTCATAGAAATTTTGGCATTGATATTAGTATCTCAAGATTCACACAATATTAATGTGAATTAATGAAATCGAATCTAGATAGTTAAAATTTGTCATAGAAATTTTGGCATTGACATTAGTATCTCAAGATTCCCACAATATTAATGTGAATTAATGAAATCGAATCTAGATAGTTAAAATTTGTCATAGAAATTTTGGCATTGACATTAATACCTGGAGATTCCCACAATATTAATGCCAATTAATGAAACCGAATCTAGATAGTTAAAATTTGCCATAGAAATTTTGGCATTGACATTAGTATCTCAAGATTCCCACAATATTAATCTGAATTAATGAAATCGAATCTAGATAGTTAAAATTTGTCATAGAAATTTTGGCATTGACATTAATACCTGGAGATTCCCACAATATTAATGCCAATTAATGAAACCGAATCTAGATAGTTAAAATTTGCCATAGAAATTTTGGCATTGACATTAGTATCTCAAGATTCCCACAATATTAATGCCAATTAATGAAACCGAATCTAGATAGTTAAAATTTGTCATAGAAATTTTGGCATTGACATTAGTATCTCAAGATTCCCACAATATTAATCTGAATTAATGAAATCGAATCTAGATAGTTAAAATTTGTCATAGAAATTTTGGCATTGACATTAATACCTGGAGATTCCCACAATATTAATGCCAATTAATGAAACCGAATCTAGATAGTTAAAATTTGCCATAGAAATTTTGGCATTGACATTAGTATCTCAAGATTCCCACAATATTAATGTGAATTAATGAAACCGAATCTAGATAGTTAAAATTTGCCATAGAAAATATAAACATTAAATATACCATCAATAAATATCAACGCTTTCGTAAGCAAACCAGTAAATCTGGTAACATTCAGTTTGTCTTGTATATCACAAAGAAGTTAAAAAGTCGATACTCGATACATGACACGTTAAGCAAGCGAAACATGCATCCGTCAATTTCAAAACCAAATAAACAATCTCCTTCTTGTTCTGGTCTTTTTCGTGATTCCAAAGGCATCGTTTTCAACAGTTACAGATTCACGCAGATCGCCGTGGACCCTCAGGTGAAGACACCCGGCGGCAAGACGTACGACGTGCTGTTCATCGGGACGGACAACGGGAAGGTGATCAAGGCGGTGAACGCGGACTCGGCGGACACTCATCTGAAGGTCAGCCCGGTGGTGATCGAGGAGATCCAGGCGTTCCCGTCGACGGTGCCGGTCCGCGGCATCAAAGTCGTCAGAGCCTCGCAGGCCGGCGACGGCCTCGAAGACGGCAGGCTGGTCGTGATCGCCGACAGCCAGGTCCAGGCGCTCAGGCTCCACCGGTGTTACAGCGACAGGATCTTGTCGTGCGGCGAGTGCGTGGCTCTTCAGGATCCGTATTGTGCCTGGGACAAGATCGAAGGCAAATGCAGAGCGCTGGTTGGCCCGGCGGCCACCGATGCCAGCCGATTCTTGCAGAGCGTCGCCACCGGGATGCACGCGTCCTGTCCTCCCAGCAAAGGTCTGAACAAGGACGCGGGCAGCGTGGGCGCCATCTCCGCGAACCAGAACAAATTCCCCCAGGACTCGATGATCCCCAACAAAGATGGCCAGGGAGGGGAGATCATCAATATCATGCAAGACGAGGAGCAGGATAATTCAGGTACCTGCATTATTCCCATCACATCCGGGGATTGAAATGCTTCCGAAAATAAAAAGTTCGAAACTGTCTCTCGCTGGAATATTCGTACGCCATTTAAAGCGGAATAACTTTTTGAAAATTGCTCCGAAGGGATTTGAACTGTTTTCGAAGCGTTGGAGAAACTAGTTTACTAGACAACGAGCAAAACGACCGTTGTAAAAATTGCAATTGCTTGGAACGAGGAAAAAAATTTCAAATTGTTTTCCTCTTTAACGTTTTTTTTTCTTTTTTTTTTTTTTTGTTTTTCTGCAGAGCCTGGAACGAAAAATTCCACAACGGTTTTTTGTGGGTCACTGTAACTTACAATGCCCGCTGAAAATTAAAAATCGTAAAACCTGCAGTTTTGTATCTTCCTACGCTCGGTTAAAAATATTAGAAGAACATTATGCTTTTAGCTTTTTGTCGTTCCAACTAATTGCGATTTTTGCAGAAATTTGTTCGGTAAGCTAGTTTCTCTGACGTCTCGAAAATATTCGAGTCATTTGGCCCGATTTTTTTTAGAAAGTTATTTAGCCCTGAATATTTTCATTAGCGGCTGCGTATCGATTCTGTTTCAAACCATTTTAAAGAACCATAAAAACCTCGTAACTGCTGTAAAGTACATCGATTCTGGCTTATGTCAGTTTCGGTTCTGCAACTGTTATTTTTCGGTTACGAGTTTTCATTGTTATTACATTTTACGTAACAGATACAATGTGTCTCTTTCATTTGTTAAGAGTATGGATTCTATATGTAATTCTTTATATTACTGTACTGTATGCGATGTATGTATTGTATTACTGTATATAATTCTTTATACTTCGTATTCTTTTGTATTCCCACCGAAACCGAAAAATAACGGTCGATTGTAAAGAAGCGATTATCTGAATATTTATTTTTGTAGCATTCTGATTCCAAGAGATTCTATCATCTAAATATTTCATTCAAGTTCTCTACTAGGTGCTAATGTGTATCTAAATAATACAATGCTCAGATAATATTGGGTTGACAACTAAGTAATTGCCGATTTCAGTTATAGATGTCTCTCACTCCCATTTTTATGATATCCGTAAATGTTATATTATAAAATTATTATTATGTTATTTTTTATTATCCGTGAATGTTAGCAACTGGACAAATTGAATGCAGCGGTGAAGGAAAAGCGACCAGAATTGGTCAATCGTAAAGGTGTCATTTTCCATCAGGACAATGCTAGGCCGCACGCGTCTTTGTCCAATCGGCCAAAATTGATGGATATTGGTTGGGAATCGATGTTACACCCACCATATAGTCCCGATCTCGCGCCATCGAATTACCACTTATTTCGATCCCTGGACAACTCCCTTCGTGGTCAAACTTTTAACGACGATGACGCTGTAAAATCTCACTTAACTCAGTTTTTGGCCGAAAAGGATCAGACTTTCTACGAGCGTGGAATTTTCAAGTTGTCAGAGAGATGGCAAAAGGTCATCGAACAAAATGGAAAATACATTACAGATTAAACTTCATTACAAGTAAAAAAAAAATTTTTTATTTCATTAAACAAATCGGCAATTAATTAGTTGCCAACCCAATAGAATGTTGGGATGCCAGAATATTGTAAAAATAAATGTTCGGATAAGAGAGTCTCTACTCCGACCTTACAACAGTCATGAGACCTTTTCAGTTCTCCATAACTGTTCGGAGAACCGAAACCGATACTGCAGGGTGTCCCAAAAATGTATCGCAATACGGAAATGTGGGCTAGCTGAGATCATTCTAAGTAACTTTTTCCTTTGCAAAAATGCAATCTGCGGCTTTGTTTACGAGTTATTAGCGAAAAACACTGACCACGGTGCGAAGTTCGAGAGCCCACGGCACGAGACTTTAACTGTTTTCAACCTCTGCCCATATCCTATACTTGGGCAAACGATTGCTCGCAATGTGCCAATGCTCGATCAGCCCCCATTTTCGCGATCTGATCGAAAGATCGACAACCTGATGTACCCGATCGAATCGTGGTACAATAAATATTCCCTAATTGAGCCGTTTATTTTGAAAGTGGCATAAGTCACTTTACCGTAATGAAAATATGATTTTTAATGTTTAATGTTGATGTGATTTTTAATGGTGATTTTTTTAAATATTTCTACGAAATTATTTGTACTGAGAAAAATATCAGTATCCTGAGATATAACAAATACAAGTAAATCTTCTCGAAAGTTAGCATCCATATTTTTAAACGTGTTCAAACGCAAACCCTTCAATATATCGACTTAAAAACAAAGTGACTTATGCCACTTTCAAAATAAACGACTCAATTGATTTGACTGCCCAGATTGTGCACAAAAATGGACAATTTGGGAAGAGGAGATACGATTATTCGAGCCTTCCCACTTGTTTTTATAGTTATTGAAAATCGGTAACTATAAAAACCATTGGGAATAGCGCTAGCAGTTCTCGCATAAGTTTCGCGTCGCGGCCACTTCGCCGATTGAACAACATGTTAATTTTTGAACGGCGTTTTGTCCAGGCCCCGAGGTGTCCGCAGCAGATTCGCCGCCGCCGCAATATTCCGTCGAGACTCTGGTGATGGCCGTGGTGGCTGGAGCCTTGGCTGCCCTGTTGGTCGGTTTCGTGGCTGGATACCTGTGCGGCAGGAAGTGCAGGAAAGACGAGGACGACAATCTACCGTATCCGGACACGGAGTACGAGTACTTTGAGCAACGGCAAAACGTGAACAGGTGAGTGCGGAGTTCGTTTCGCAGCTCGCGTTCGATCGACTTCGTCAACGCGAGACGCGATCGAGACGATGCGAAGTTCAGTACAGTAAATTCTCTCTAATTGATGCTTAGATTCTGCACAAAAGAGAACAATTTGGGTAGAGGAGATATTTTTTTATTATCGATTATTTATGGCTCGATTATTCGAGCCTTGCGATTCGTTTTTATATATTTATTTATATATTTATATTATATTATATATATATATACAGGGTGTCCCACAATTATTTTAACAGCCGAAAATGAGGGGTAGCTGAGGTCATTTGAAGTAACTTTTTCCTTTGCGAAAATGCGATCCGCGGCTTTGTTTACGAGTTATTAACGAAAAACACTGGCCAATGAGAGGTGACGGTGCGAGAGAGAGAGTCCGCGAGAGAGTACGCAGCACGAGGCTTTGACAGATGGTCGGGACGGACTCGAGCCACGTTCGAAGTATTGAACAAATTACGAAGCGAGAACTTTCAGGATTTTTTTTTACTACGTAACAGTGATATTTTTAAGAAAAACGCTGTTCACCTTTACTTTAGAACGTCTGAAGAATATTTACTCATTTTTCGGACCCGAAATAATAAATAATTTAACCGTGACGGCCGTTTTAATTTTCTAGTGTGCATGACACCTCGTGTGTAACATGTGAAATTTTTAAGCAAGGTGTGCAGTGAAGGTTAACAAAGTACGTAAATGATATTTTACGTAAATGATATTTTAATTTAAATAATTCCGTGTCCGAACACAGTTCGACGAATGATTCGCAAAGCTAATTTAATAAATAATAATCGTGTTAAAGGACGTAAGGGATATGTTTGTTAGAGAAATATGAAGAATATTATCAATAAGAAACTCACCCATTTAGTTGTAAAATCCACTTCATGCACGGAAATGTGTGCAGGAGGATAGTGCATTGACCTCGTACAATGTATGATGAACTGCACAGCTGATCTGTATCCGACGGCGACGAACAGAAGGATATCTCCGGGCAGGCAATTTCAACGTTTACTTTCACTGCATTATCACTAAACACTGATCACTTATCAATAATATTTATGGACCAACTTTCCTGGGTTAATATGTATGGCCCTGAAAAGAGCCGATTGTTTTATGCGACGCGTTCGAAGTTCATATCGTTAAGAACACATACCGCGTTGACGGGATAAACTGCGGAAGACTAGCACGATGGCTGACAATGTTCGCGTTCGATGAAAAACAGTTGAAATTCGCTCGTAGGAGAACGAAACACAGTCGGCCATCGTGCCAGTCTTCTGCAGTTCATCTCGACAACGCGGTACATACGTGTCGATAACAGTGAGAACTTCGAACGCGTCGCATAAAAAAATCGGCTCTTTTCAGAGCTATACATATTAACCCAGGAAAGTTGGTCCATAAATATTATTGATAAGTGATCAGTGTTTAGTAATAATGCAGTGAAAGTAAACGTTGAAATTGCCTGCCCGGAGATATCCTTCTGTTCGTCGCCGTCGGATACAGATCAGCTGTGCAGTTCATCATACATTGTACGAGGTCAATGCACTATCCTCCTGCACACATTTCCGTGCATGAAGTGGATTTTACAACTAAATGGGTGAGTTTCTTATTGATAATATTCTTCATATTTCTCTAACAAACATATCCCTTACGTCCTTTAACACGATTATTATTTATTAAATTAGCTTTGCGAATCATTCGTTGAACTGTGTTCGGACACGGAATTATTTAAATTAAATACCATTAACGTAAAATATCATTTACGTACTTTGTTAATCTTCACTGTACACCTTGCTCAAAAATTTCATATGTTACACACGAGGTGTCATGCACACTAGAAAATTAAAACGGCCGTCACGGTTAAATTACTTATTATTTCGGGTCCGAAAAATTAGTAAATATTCTTCAGACGTTCTAAAGTAAAGGTGAACAGCGTTTTTCTTAAAAATATCACTGTTACGTAGTAAAAAAAAATCCCGAAAGTTCTCGCTTCGTAATTTGTTCAATACTTCGAACGTGGCTCGAGTCCGTCCCGACCATCTGTCAAAGCCTCGTGCTGCGTACTCTCTCGCGGACTCTCTCTCTCGCACCGTCACCTCTCATTGGCCAGTGTTTTTCGTTAATAACTCGTAAACAAAGCCGCGGATTGCATTTTCGCAAAGGAAAAAGTTACTTCAAATGACCTCAGCTACCCCTCATTTTCGGCTGTTAAAATAATTGTGGGACACCCTGTATATATTAATATTATATTATATATATATATTTATTTATATATAATATAATATAAATATATAAATTTATATATTTATATATATATATTATATAAATTTATATATATATATATATATATATATATATATATATATATATATATATATATATACTGTACTTATATTATATGTTATATAT